ATAAGTGTTTTGGTTATGTATATAAATGTTTGTTATATATATATATATATGTGTGTGTGTGTGTGTGCGTATGTGTTTGGTTATATATTTATATAGTACCGAACTTTGAAAATTTACATTTTTCAACTCAGTCATAATCTTATAGTACAGCGATTTCTACAGATGTTGGATCTATTAATGATACGTACAGAGGAACAAGTATACATATACGATACGTGTTTTTCTAACATCGTGAACATATATACATAATATCAACGTAAAAACAAAAGCTATTGATTCACTTTGACCTTGAAACAGACAGTTTCATCTGTCGCTGTTTTTTTGTTTGTTTGTTTTCGTATAATTTGCAACAGGACAACTGCGGTGTCGTGTAAGTTTGCTATTCTTTATTTTGGAAAAGCTCTTATATTTATGTATAATTCAATGAAGATAGAAACACGAGATCCTCCGGTGGGTCAGCGGTAAGATTACAGACTTGCAACGCTGAAATCCGGGGGTCCGATTCCACATCGTGGACACAGAAGATTGATCAATGTGGCTTTACTCTAGAACAGAAACATGAGTTACCACTGTAGAGATATTATTTTATAAATTGTATAACAATATTCAACTTATTTATGTATTCAGAGACACTCGTTTTTACACATTAAATCAACGGAAAACTTTAAATCTGAGAAAGAAAAATTCCTACCAAGAAAATCTCAGAAATTGTACGATTCTCTTTTGTTGTACATGCAGTTACTCCTGGACTTTCAAGTTCTTAATTACAGGTGGCGTCTCTACATGTTTGTGATTTTCCGTTTTTACGAACTATCCTTCTCACTTTTTTATTTGGTTCAGAAATATGTTGTGCTGGAAACTTAATCTCTTGAAATATGGAATGTTCAAGTTCTTCCTGTTAGGCATTTGTATGTTTATAGAAGTTTTATCGAGATTAATTTTATTTTGGTTTGGATTAAAATTTTTATTAACAAAGCAGAAAATATTTCGAAATTAACCTTGTTTTAAAAGGACCTTTACTTATCGGTTTTTTTTTTTCACCGCATTATAGTGATATTTAATGTTGTTAAAAAATTTTTAGGCCTGGGCAGCGGAGATACCAGTTATTCGAAATCTCCTTCATACACGTTTGGGTCTAAGTAAGTATAAAATATTTTTTTCTGACTAATAATTTTTCTGATTAATTTTTTCTCATAAATATCGTATCGATACTTATACTTACCTAAATAAGCATAATTTGTAGATTATGATCAATTATTTTGTTCATAATTCAGAATATTATTAATTATTTTTCCTTTACACGGAATAATATTATTAAATCTAACGAAGGAGAAAATACTGTGCTATCTTCAAATCCAAAACGAAACCAAAACTAAACCACGTGAGAAACGTGATGCGACATTTCCCGGCAAAATAAAGCTAAAATATCTCCAGATCCTAGTATTCCTTCACTTATAGTAACAGCTACTACCAAATCTTGCGGGCTGTTGTTATCAAAGGACTTGTGTGTTTTAAAGGAGCTCAAGTCCTTTTTTCTTAGCTAAACATTATATATTTCTCGTCATTTTAGGGTTGAAGCAAGGAGGAAGAATTTCACTCCTGGCCCCGGTTCTTACGATATTGCTGGGATATCGGAAAAAGGCAAGGAAACCGTACCGGCACCTTCAATATCTGGAAGGATGAAGGACCCAGACAAATTTATAACCCCCGCTCCAGGGGCTTATACACCAGAACAAAGTGTTAAGACCTTTCAAAATGGGTCACCCAGCTATTCCTTTGGAGTCAAATTAAAAGATCAGAAGAAAGACAATTACCCAGGTTAGTTGTAGAAGTCATACCGCACCTGAACATTAACAAGAAGCCATACCTTAACATTAACAAGTTATACCTTACCTTAACATTAACAAGAAGCCATACCTTACCTTAACATTAACAAGAAGACATACCTTAACATTAACAAGAAGTTATACCTTACCTAAACATTAACAAGAAGCCATACCTTACCTTAACATTAACAAGAAGCCATACCTTACCTTAACATTAACAAGAAGTCATACCTTACCTTAACATTAACAAGAAGCCATACCTTAACATTAACAAGAAGTTATACCTTAACATTAACAAGAAGTCATACCTTAACATGAACAAGAAGCCTTACCTTAACATTAACAAGAAGCCATACCTTACCGCTTGTGTTATCAGAGGTGTATGAGACAAATTACAAGTGGGAAACAAAGTATATTTGACCGAGGGAACGTGCGCCACAGGTGCACACATTACAGCCACGGACCAGGGCTCGCCTTAGGACCGTGGATTAAATTTTATCCCGAGAGTAATTTCTCTAATTTTGATGCATTTTTAGTGGGACAAGTTTAAAAGTCGGAGCCCACCGCTTCCTACGCCACTGGTACCTAACCTTGTTTTAACATTCCACTGTAGTAGTACTAAGATATGTGTTTCGTGTAGTATTTTAAGTAGTGGGGAAGGGGGGGGGGGTAGAAGAAACGAAATGTGACGTTAATATAATTAGAGACTTTTAGGAAATGCTATTATTTATTTGTTGTTTTTTGAAACTATAAATTTAAAGCTTATTGTTAGGATGGCCCTGGTAATTACGTTAAAGAAACGGGTAAAATAGGTTGTGACTGTCTTGTAAAATCTCGTCTGCTATCTGAATTATTACCCATTCATTTTACTTATTAAGCTTGAAAATACTGTCAGACAATATGCACAATAAACTCTGTAATTCAGTAACCTACCATCAGGGGGCTAGGCTTGGTGGACCAAAGTTTGAGCCGTGATGCCACGAAACACGGTCTGTACTTCCAGCTGTGGGAGTATTATAAAAATAACAGTAAATTCTGTTCTAAGAGCTGGACCGACCCCTTATGGCGACGCGTGCCCCTGACTAATTGGTTTCCCTCTAGTCAGTAGTTTCAAATTAGGGAGAGCCATACCTGAACCATAGAGGTCTCTGAGCTAGCTGTTTAGCCCGCGTGTCACATAATGTGACGTAGGTTGAAAGGTCCATGCCGAGTGTTATAGAGATGGTCATTGATTTATAGGATGCGAACATTTTGTCTTTCATTATATTTGATTAATTTTTCAGCACCAAACACTTACAATGTGAATGGAGAAGACGTGAGCTATCCCCACTCTCCATCATATTCCATGGGTGCTAAACTTAACCATGAAAGAATCAACAATGTAAGTAAAGTTTAACATTTACAAACCACATCGTGTTAGAGATTAATAACCAGTATCACATGGGTGCTAAACTTAACCATGAAAGAATCAACAATGTAAGTAAAGTTTAACATTTACAAACCACATCGTGTTAGAGATTAATAACCAGTATCACATGGGTGCTAAACTTAACCATGAAAGAATCAACAATGTAAGTAAAGTTTAACATT